TTCTTTAACATTTACTCTTATTTCATTGAATCGTTCTCGGAGATAAAGCTAGCAACACCAGATTCAGTGCTCATCTGCATTAAGTTTCATATGACTCACCTTCTATTTTACTTTATTGATCACTTTTACATCATATTTTACTTATTAATACTGTAATATTTTAACTGCTAAGATATAATCAAAATTTAATGAGTTAAACTAAGGTACAAATTCTTGACCTCATACAAATTTAACTGTACCATTATTAGTGTAACTTGTTTTTCCTAATTTCATTAGAATGATTCCTTTCCTCATTATTATAAAAAAAAAAAAAAAAATTATGTTTTCCAAAATATTTGACCTACCGAACATACAAAAGTTATAAAACACTTTCTTATGCTGCGGGCTGTTGAAATAAAAAAGTTTCTCACTGATGGAAATCATTTTTATTGTTGACAGCTCTAATATTGCTAGCTAGCAAATGGAACCTTCTACTATAGTTATGCCCGTGACTTAACTAGAATCTGCATGATATATTTTAAGCAATGCCCTTTTCCTAATTTTCCACTAACTAACAAAAACTAACCTCCATCGTTAGTCTCAGCGAGAAAAAAGGTTTCACACGCACAAATATTCTATGACTTTAGAATATCTAAAAGTTCAAAGTTCAAACCCTCGAGCAAAAAACAATAATAAAAGAAAACAATTAGGATGTAGACAGAGGCGGAGCTAGGTGGGGGTTCGTGGGTTTGGACGAATCTCCTAGCTTTCCCGTAAAGTTTGTATTTGTATTAAAAAATTAAATAAATATATATGTCTATTAACTTGTGAACCCCTAACAAAATTGATTGACAGTCCAGTGGTAAGCAAGAGCGGTGAAAATGCTTTTCACACATTTATTGTGGATTCTAACACCTTTCTCTTTTGTTTTATAATTTAGAACTCTAAACTCCTAATTCTGGCTCAGCCTCTGGATGTAGATATCGTTTGTTTTGATATGACAACTAAACTAATATACTTCACATCATGACCTGCGGGAGTAATTAACGTAATTAGGTTAATTAATGCAACAACCACATCCCGTGATTCTAAATGAGGCTCCTGCTTATATTTCAAAGTTTTGAACTGTTTGCAACAAAGCTAGAGTACAATTATAAATAAAATACGAATAAACATAATTTTATTGATAAGCATTATAGGTACAAATTTGTTTATTAGCTTGATTCTTCTCTCTTAAGATTTTTCCGTGATTTGAGAATCATTAATGATGTATTTCTCGAACTAGGACGATTTGAACTTACTTGAGATTTATTTGATCTCCATTGATTTTTGTGAATATTTGATGAATTTGCAAAATATTCGAGATGTCTTTTCAAGGGAATATAATACCTCTTGGGCATAACCTAGGATTTAAGGTAAAAAGTAGCTTCCAAGAACCCTAACTGAAATAGAATTCGTATGGTAGAGTCCTACAAAATTTCGATGTCTATATGATTATAAAAATGATATTCCATGTTTGAAAGAACAAGAAAAAACAGTAGAGACCATAACCCGATCGAACCTACAATTTTTTTTCTTTTTTAATCCTCAACTATAGAAGGGAACCGTTATGAAAGCAAATAATGACAATGGGTAAGAGTTTATATTAACGTCCTAAGAATTTCAAAATTGTCAATCAAATGTGGATTAATTTTATAAATGAATAATTTTTTTCTTATCCACCTACCAAATGTTGTATTAATTATATACATTAGGGGTGTGCAAAAACCCATTTAACCAATAAACCGAATCGAAAAAAACACTATTGGTTTATTGATATTGGTTATTGGGCTAACGGTTTTTAAACGGTTTTACAAATTTTTTTATTGGGTTATTGGTTCGGTTTCCGGTTTTATAATTTTTGTTAATGGTTAAACCGATAACCCAATAAGACTATACTAAATTTACTAGTCTTATTGTTAATGGTTAAACGATTGTTACTTTCACACTTTTTGTTAATGGTTAAACGATTGTTACTTTCACACTTTTTCCTTTGAATGTGTCTAGTGTCTAAACTTGCAAGAAAAATGATTGTTACTTTTATGATTATTACTTTCATGCCAAATGCTGGAAAAATCATATGGTTTATTTGAAAATTTTCTTATCCTGTATATAATATATATGAGTATTTTCTTATTGGTTAAACCGAAAACCGAACCGTTAAGTACCATAAACCGATTAACCAAAAACCAATAAGAAATATGTTATTGGTTTGGTTATCGGTTTGAAGTATTTACAAACCGAAAACCGATAAACCGAACCAATAACACCTAAAACCGAACCGAACCGACAGATGCGCACCCCTTATATACATTAGTAACTTTTTTCTTATCCATCTATCAAACGTCGTATTAATTATATACATGAATAATTCTTATCCATCTATCAAACGTCGTATAAGTTATACATACTATAATACATGAATAAGCTAAGACGGGTTCGAGCCCTGGGAATGGAGAAAATCATGTTGGGAGAGCCACCTCCGAATGGGCCCTGCAGAGTGCGATCCGGATTTAGTCGGAGCTCCAAGACACCGGATGGAAAACCAAAACAAAAGAAAAAATAATAAGCTAAGACTTGTTTTATACCGCTACCAAACGACCCCTAAGGGTGTAGATACCGTTTGTGTTGATATGACAACTAAACTAATATATATACTTCACATCATGACTAATTAACGTAATTAGGTTATATAATGCAACAACCACATCCCGTGATTCTAAGGCTCCTACTTATATTTCAAAGCTATGATCATTTATAAAAATGATATTCCATGCTAAAAGAAGAAGAAAAGAAACAGTAGAGACCACAATCCGATCGAACCTATAATATTGTTTTTTTCTTTTTTCATACTCAACTATAGAATAGAACCGCTGCGAAAGCAAGTAATGACAATGGGTGAGAGTTTATATTAAGGTCTCAACTCTCAAGTAATTACTATTCTCTTTGTCTCAATTTATGTGACACAGTTAAATTTTTCAGATTCAGACTTTTGAACTTTGACAGTAAATTCAAAAATAAAAACTTAAATATTTTTTAAACAAGATTTTTATATTTGAAAACTACATAATGTTTCTTTAGTATAAATTACAATAATTACTCCCTCCGTTCTTTTTTAGTTGTTATAGTTTCCTTTTTGAGAGTCGAACGATATGAATTTTGACCAACATTTTAAGATGTATATTTTCATCATATTGATATGAAAAAAGTTGTAATTTATAGTACTTTCCGTGTTAATATAATCAAATTTAGCTTTGAAAATTAGTTAAATTAACTCTCAAAAAGCACAACACGGCATCTAAAAGGGAACAGAGGAAGTAATAACTTAAAATATTTAAAAGACATATAAATAAATTTCGGTAAAAAAAGAACTTAGTTGATTTGCCGTATCCATTCAATAATTTTGAGAAAAAAGATTAGTTTGTTTTGTTCCAATTTACATGGTTTCCCATTTGATAATAAATTAAGATGAAACAGTTTATAATTGACGTGCAATATCTAGGGAGAGTTTGCAAAATAGCCACCTTAAAGACTTAATGTGTCATTAAGTCACAAGTCTTGAATAATTTGTAGTATACCCACTATTAATGACATTATCCACATGCCCTAATTAACACATACACAAGACCCCACTAAATTTTCATATCTCCACTTTGGTCCCCCCCTTCTTTTCCAACTAATTTGGAATAATATATTTATTTGCAATTGTTAAAATTTATATTAGAAAAAGAAAAAAGTTTCCAAACGGAAACAAGAGCAGCTTGTTTTTGATGCTGTCGATTCCGGCGAGTTTTCCGGCCATAATATCCATTTCCAAGGTAAATCATCATCCTACTCCATATTCATGTTTACTCCATTTTCTTTCAAAACCAAGCTTCAAATTAGTTTCCCGCCATTTTAGAAATTTGAGAAATCTTCCATAATAATCACTTGATAACTCATTATAGATACATTTTAGTAGTTTAAAAGCATTAAAAATCTGTTTCGCCATTGTAGGAGCTGAATTTTGAACCCCAATCTAATCTAGTCGCATTATTGTACGGATTTCGTACCTCATAGACTGATACTATAATCTATTATCGATATTTGTAGTTTATAATGGCAGTAGCTGAATTTGTTGTTGCTGGTGGAAGATTATATGGGAGTATTAGAGGAGACTCCCAAAAGCTGGAATTGGAAATCTTTTAGTAAGACAATAGTTCCCATTGCGTTGCGTCGCAATGGTTCATATGACAATATGATTGCAAGCGTAATTGAGGCCGGTAAGTTAACTTGCAAGCCAAATGACTTGGTGATTAGCTATCGAATGAATGGAAAGGGAAAAATACATCCCACATTCATAAAAAAATGATCGGCACGTTAGCTTGTACATGTTAGATATTGGTATTGATAGCTCTAAGCCTACATTGAGGATACACGTTAATGCGAGGCCTCCAATTGAACCAACAAATTCATTTGACGACGATAATGATTCTATTAGAAATGAAAGATTGGGTGATCATGCAAAGGAGAGCTTGGGTGATCATTCAAATGAAAGTTTGGGTGATCATTCAATGAATATACATAATGATCTAATTAATGTGGAAAATCAGTCAGTAGATGCAGAAGATCCTAAACGCGAATGTTGTAAAGAAATGCAGGGAGAAGAGGAATTGAGAGAACAATCCAACCATTCCTTCTCCGATGGAACTAATTTATGCATAAATCAAACTTTCAGTAACAAGAATGAGTTGCAATTGTTATTAGCCGAAGCGGCGGCAAAGAAGTCTTTTGATTTTGCTACTTTGAGGAGTTGTACTAAATATTTAAAGGTGAAATGTGTATCTCAGAATTGAGCATTGATGTTGCGAGCGAGAAAATATGAATGTTCAGATATATTTCGTATCTACAAGTATATTAGCGAGAATAGTTGTGGCGTTGAACATGCCAACAATAGCCATAGAAAAATCTCAATCAAAGTCATTGCTTCACTTTGTGTAAATATGTATCGTGATGGCAAGGGTCCAAATGATAAAGAGATTCAAACGATTATGTTTAATTCTTTTCGTTGTAGTCCAAGTTATTGGAAATGTTGGAAGGGAGGTATGGTTGCCAAGGAGATGGTCCAAGGGACAGCGGAGAACGGATATTCATGCTTATCGGCTTTTTCCTACATGTTCGAGACACTTAATGTTGGTTTTAGGTATTCTATCGTGGTAAACAAGGATAGTCATATGTTAATGTATTATTTCTTAGACTTTGATGCTTGCATTAAGGGATTTGCCCACATGAGAAAGGTAATTGTGGTTGATGGCACTCATTTACATGATAAATATGAGGGCGTGTTGTTGAGCGATGTTGCACAAGATACGGAGAATCATGTTTATCCAATTACTTTTTGTGTCGTGGACAAAGAGAATGATGTATCTTGGACATTCTTCTTTGAGAAATTGAAGGAGAATGTGGTCGATGAACCAGATTTGTGTTTTATCTCCGATAGACATAAGAGCATCGCCAACGGTATTATGAACGTTTACAATCATGCTCACCACGGATATTGTATGAGGCACCTCGGTGAAAATCCCCGCGTAAATCATCATTGTGGAGATTACCTTTATCTTTACTACAATGCGGCAAAGGCTTATTCTTCGAAAGAGTTTGACAATCATTTTGTCGAATTCAAGAACAAATGTCCCGCGACAGCCGTCATCCTTGAGTATGATATAGGTTTTGAGAAGTGGAGCAAGACACATTTTCCTGGCAATAGATATGATGTGATGAGCACAAATATCGACGAGTCACTCAATGCTATGTTGATAGACGAAAGAAAGTATCCCATGACATCAATATTTAATTCGATTGCTAAGAGGTTTGGAGAATTGTTCAGGGAGAGGCATGCATATATACTTAAATCAATGGGTAATCAAATGGTGCCTTCTGCCAAAAAAATTGCAAGAAAGAATATGATCGAGGGCGACTCCTTATCTATGGAGAACGTAACTGGGGACGACAATCAATTTACTGTGTTCGGTGGAGATGTTACTTCCTATGTAGACCTACTGGAAAAGTCATGTTCTTGTAGGGAATATGACTTGATCAAGATACCTTGTGCTCACGCGATGGACGTTTTGCGATCGAAACATGGCAACGAGTATGGTATGGACATTTATGAGTACTTTTCGCCTTTGTATAAAGTTGAATTGTACCTCCTTGCATACTTAGATTCTATTAATGTTGTTCCTTTCGGGTCGGAATGGTGTGTGCCAGAAGAATTGCATAATGTGAAGATTTTTCCACCTCTTGTCAATACCAAGCGTGGAAGAAAACGTGTCAAAGGTGTCGGTGAGAATTTCAAGAGCAAGAGAAGTGTAACATCTCGCAACTAGAAAGAACTAGAAGGAAGTTTAAAATCTGGAAATAGTTATTTTTTGGGAAGAATTTAAAAATCTAGAAATTTGGTAAAGGTGTTAAAGTGAGTTTTTGGTCAACTTTAAACGGCCATAATTCCTAGATCAGGATTAATTAGGTGTGATTCCAGAAATGGTTGGAAATCCCTTGGAATGATCTTTCCAACGCCGCCAAGTTTGAGTGATTTTGAGTTCGTATGAGCAAGTTATGCACTTCGGAAGTTGGGTTGTTCAAATAAGGAAATGTCCAATCCGGATTTAAAAGGGGCATTTTAGTCTTTTCCTTGACCTATTATTTTAATCCGTTTCTAGGAGATTAATTGGGGTAAAAGAAGATTGTTGTTAGTTTAGAAAAGTTAGAGTTCACGCTAGGGCTTGGAGAAAAGAGAAAAGAGGAGAAAAGAGAAGGAAGTTCAAGATTCGTCGAGATTAGCTTGTGGATTTCTTTGGGAGTGATCCCTACAAGGTATGTGAGATCACATAGTGTTGGGTTAGTTCACCCACGGGCCAATCATGATTCAATTTCAGTGAAGTTGTTAGATTTGAAAGTAAATCCTTGAGTTGTTGATGAAATTCATTTGAATTCTTGTGGGTTGTGTTGTTGGAGTTTTCTTGAGATTGATTCATGTTGTTAGTTGTTTTTTTCTGAGTAGAATTTGATGTATATTGAGGGTACAAATGATTCTAAGTGCTTAGGGAAAGGACCATTGAAGTTTAGAGGGTTTAGAGATGAAAAACGAGTAAGAAAAATTAGGAATTTTCTAGGCAAGGGCTTGGAGCGCCGCGCTTCCCATAGCGCCACAAAAGTTCCTCTGAACTTTGGGCTCTGGGGTGACGCGCCAGCCAGAGCACCACAACTTCAGCTTTGAAGTTTGTGCTCTGGCGCCCCGTGCCTTTCAGAGCGCCAAGGTCGCCAGTTCCTCCCATTTCTTCCCCAACCTTTCGTATTAGTTCCTTAGCAATGTACCTATATTTTCTAGTTGATTCCAACACTCTAAGGTACATCTAAACATCATGAAATCATCCATAAACATGAGATCATGAACCTTGAATCCATAATCTAATTCAAGGAAAGTTAAGAGTCAAGTCAAGAGAAGTTCTTAGAGTTTTCCAAAAGTCTTCTCTAAATGTTTTAACTTTGTTTTAAGACTTAATGTTCAAGTTGAGTAAAGATTAAAGAGTAAGTTTGAAGTTCATTTCTTCAAAATTATATGGGGACTATGTATTCCCAAAAAGGGTTTAAAATGTTTTCACATTTAAACAAGAAAGGAAACCTCGATTTCCAAAGAGCCTTCGGGCTAGTTTTCAGAAAAGAGTAACCGCTTTCTAAATGAAGAAAGAGGGGAAACTTTGATTTCCAAGATAGCCTTTGAGCTAAGTTTTTGAGCATTAATCTCAAATCACAAAAGAAGTATGTTTTTCTAAAAAAACATAAGAGCTAGTATATTTTGAGAGTAATATTGAGCATCGAATTGGGGGCGAGCATGAGTTCAGATAACTCACATCTCCATAAAATCATGTAGCCACTATGGGTAGAAAAGGGTCATACTTTTTAGATGAACCATTTTCACAATAGACTAGTGGATCCACTTAGTAGTTCAGTTCTTACACCTCTGGCAGGGTATAAGATGCGCTGGCAGCGTGATGTAGATCGTTGTATCATCCCTATAGCTCTTATGTGATGGTTGTCGATTAGAGAAACTCCCACAAAAGTTATTGAATTTTTATATACATCAGTTTATTGTATTTTTACATACATTTCAGAGTTATGTTGTATCCTTGTATATACACAGAGTTGACATCATGTTTTTAAACAACTTTTCTTTATATTGCACTTGTTTTAAACTGCTTTATATTGAAATGAGTTCAATTAAGTATTCATGAGTTGAGAAGTTAAGTGTTTCTTTTAGATTCCCTTTTATGCCTATGTTGTTTTAACATTCCAACTCGCATACTCGTACATTTAATGTACTAATGTCAGTTGGCCTGCATTATCTTATGATACAGATATAGGTAACTATGATCGGCATTCAGCGCATCGTTGATCCAGTGAACAGTTCAGAGTCTGTTGGTGAGCCTCTTTGCATTCCGGATTACTCATTTTCATTGTTTTCAGTTTAGTATTAATTCATTAGGATGTCGTGGGCCTGTCCCGACATCCGTCTCAGTTGTTTAGAGGCTTCATAGACGGACAGTCAGTTAGTTAATTCAGTTTTCTTTACTTTTCGTTTCACATGTTTAAAGACTTAAGTATGCCTAAATGGCCAGTTGAATGTTCCTTTATGATATTCTAGTTCTTCATAAATGTTTATGTGATGAGTTAAGTCTTCCGCTAAGTTAGTAAGCCAGGTCAAGGGTTCGCTTGAGGCCAGCATTGGTCTTCGAGTGCCAGTCCCGCCCAGGGTGTAGGCTTGGGCGTGACAAGAAGGAACAAATGTTCAATCTGTAAGAGAATCGGACACAAGAGAACAACATATGTGAACAACAACAAATCTTAAAGAAGCTTGATTGAATTTGTTTTTGTAATCAAGCTACTGTTATTTTTGCTGCCAGCATTTTGGTCAATTTAGTGTCATCTATTATCATAATTAGTCGTGATCTAATATAGATCAATCAAAAGATGACATACATTTTGTACGCTATCTATTAATGTTTATTATCGAGTTCACCCGTTCTCTATTAAACTGTGTATTATTAATATATGAAAATTCATGGTATTCATGATGCAATGATTTTAATACATGAATTAGAATGATTAAAGAAGGAAGTGTTGTAAAAAAAGTCATAATATGAAGTTGTGTATTTTAATGCATGTGTATTATTATTATTATCGTGCATATTATTTTTAATGCACCTAATCAAACTCTCCATAAGAAATAATCTAAGTATAACTAATCCAAAAATGACTAATACAAACATTATCTGAATATACACTCTACCAAACGCCCCTTAAAGAATTAATAAAAGATCATATGTTGCTGTTGAAATATGTATATGAAAATATGTACTGGTTGTCAAAATATATAGACCCCTTACACAATCGATTCATATTTATGTGTGTGGTGTGTGTATGATCGATGAGATTTACACTCTGACATTAGTAAGGTATATTCGGGTTTATGTCTATTTTAAAGCATTGTCGATACTTCACCTACTAGAATCGGACACTTATATATAGACCAAAATTAGTAGAATTTAGAAAATACAACAATTAATTAATAATAAATTATATTTTTAAAATTTATCCAATTAAATGAGTTTAAACAAGTCATATGATCATGTAAGAGTCCACATAAATTGGGTGTGGTGATTAGAGATGTATGAGGAAGAGGTGTGGTTATACAATCATCATCCTTAGAACAATGTTTGAGAAAACATAAGTATGTTGTAAGTATATCACTTGTTTAACGACACATTGTTGATTGCCACCCCTATTTATGTAGACTCATACATTATCACATGCTTATGTTCTAAAGATGTTCATTGTATAACCACACATAACAAGTTACATCCTTACATCATACTTATGCTTTCTCAAATATTGTTATAAGGATGTTGATTGTATAACCACAACTCTTCCTCATACATCTCTAATCACCACACCCAATTTATGTGGACTCTTACATGATCATATGACTTGTTTAAACTCATTTAATTGGATAAATTTCAAAAATATAATTTTTTATTAATTAATTGTTGTCTTTTCTAAATTCTACTAGTTTTGGTCTATATATAAGTGTCCGATTCTAGTAGGTGAAGTATCGACAATGCTTTAAAATAGACATAAATCCGAATAGACCTTACTAATGTAAGAGCTAATATTATATTTTTGGGAGTAGTATTGAGCTAATTTCATTCTAAAAAAATTGAAGATTTCATGAGCAAATTCTCAATCAAACTTAAACTATTTAACTTTCGAAAAATGAAAAAATTATAATTTAGGGAGTATTGTTTTTAGAACTGATTAAAAAAAGTGAATAGTGTAATTTAGGATAGAAAGAGTATTATATTCCTTGTAGCAGTATAAATACCCTGCATGCCATTACATTTGTTCATTCATCTTTGCAACGATTTGTGTGCTTTAGCTTCCTTACAATAACATGGCTTCTAAAACTAAAGCCTCATTGGTTACCCTTTTCCTCTCCTTCAATCTCCTCTTCTTCGCCATAGTCACTGCAACTAATACTGATTGTGCCTTCTGCCCTTATCATCCTCCTGGTAGCGGTGGCAGTGGAGGTGGAGGTTCGGGCAGTGGAGGTGGAGGTGGAAGTGGAGGTGGAGGTTCGGGCAGTGGAGGTGGAAGTGGAGGTGGTGGTTCAGGCAGTGGAGGTGGCGGTTCAGGCAGTGGAGGTGGAGGTGGAGGTGGAAGTGGGGGTGGAGGTGGAGGTGGAGGTGGAAGTGGAGGTGGAGGTGGAGGTGGAGGTGGAGGTGGAGGTGGACAAGTAAGGTGTCCAAGAGATGCTTTGAAACTTGGTGTGTGTGCTAATATACTTAATTTGGTGAATGTAGTAGTGGGGTCTCCACCAACTTTGCCATGCTGCAGTTTGATACAGGGACTGGTAAATCTAGAGGTGGCAGCTTGTTTGTGCACAGCCATAAGAGCAAACATACTGGGCATAAATCTGAATGTGCCACTCACTCTTAGCCTCATTCTCAACAACTGTGGAATGAATAATAGTGGCTTCACTTGCTAAGCATTCTGCTCTTTCTAATATGTCTCTTATCATTATCATGAATTTCCTTGTCTGTCCTTGTCTTATGATAGTTATATTGTTATAAATAAGCGAATTTGCAACATCAACTTATTAAGCAAGATTCGTGAACCAGTTGATCATTTTACATTTGTGGTTTAATACTATTATATATGGACTTTCTTTTCTATTTCATAATATATATAAGAATAAGAATATTTATATTTTGGGTTTCGTTTGACTACTCTTCTAGTTTTTCTTTTTTTGGTCAAAAGTAAAAATATGTGTGTCTTTAACTCTGTACATACCTTATGTAGTTTGAGCTTACTCAATCATTACAAAATGATTGTTTAGGATCTACAAACATTATTAGACCACAAAATTTACATTGAAGTGAGGTGAGTAAGTCACAACTACATGTTTTAGTGGCGACCTTGAAGTTGTTACAACTACTTTCGAAGCGGAATGTGGTTTGTGGCAATATATGAGATCGCTACAAAATAGATATTGTAGTGACTAAAGTAGCCACAAAAAGTATACCAATATGCCCAAATGAAGCTCAACAATATTCCTCTTTCGTCGCCACAAATGAAGTTCCACACGATGTAGCCACAAAATGGATAAATACGACAGAGGAACATTGGCTGGCGCCATGTACTAACGATATTTTCCCATGGACACCCTCCATGGGAAAATACAATAGCAACACTTTTATATTCTTGGGCCTAATTAATAAGTTTTTATTATTCACAAAGTTTTTCTTCTTTAACATTAATTTATTTCATTGAATCGTTCTCGGAGAAAAGCTAGCAACACTGGATTCAGTGATCATCTGCATTAAGCTTCGTATGACTCACTTTCTATTTGCTTTATTGATCACTTTTACATCGTTTTTTACTTATTAATACTGCAATAGTTAACTGCTAATAATAAAAATCTAATAAGTTAAGCTAAGATGCAGATTCTTGACCTCATACAAATTTGACTGTACTATTATTTCGATAAATAACTAGTGTAACTTGTTTTTCCTAATTTCATTAGAAAGTCGTTTTCCTCATTTTTATAAAATTTGTTTTATTTATATTTTCCAAAATATTTGACCTACTGAACATACAAAAGTTGTAAAACACTTTCTTATGCTTCGTGCTGTTGAAATAAAAACGTTTCTCACAGATGGAAATCATTTTTATTGTTTACTGCTCTAGTATTGCTAGCACAATATCAGATTAATTTTATACATGAATAATTTTTTTCTTATCTATTCAAACTTATATTAATTATATATATGAATAACTTTTTTCTTATCCACGTATCAAACGTCGTATTAATTATAGACATGAATAATTCTTATCCATATATCAAACACCGTTTAAGTTATATAGACTCTAATACATGAATAAGCTAAGACTTGTTTTATACCGCTACCAAACGACCCCAAGGGTGTAGATATCGTTTGTGTTGATATGACAACTAAACTAATATATATACTTCACATTAGGGGTGTACATGACCGGGTTGATTTGGATTTTTCAAATATCAAACCAAACCATTTGTGTAAAAATTTTAAATTTATAAACCAAACCAAACTAATAAAATTCGGATTTTTTTGGATTTTTCAAATACCAAACTAAACCATTGTGTTGAATTTTTAAATTTATAAATCAAACTAAACTAATAAACCTCGGATTTTTTTTCCAGATTTTTGGATTTTTTCGGTAAAGTTTGCATACAAACATATAATTAACTTGTGCTCCAAATATTTCTTTAGTCCAACCAAAATACAATTATCTAAGGTGTTTCTTAAGAAAATAACACAAAATATGAGATCAGTACTGATGACACTAAAATATTCAATAAAAAATAATAATAAAATCATCATATAAAATAAATATTGCAAAGTCATAATGAAAATGATCATAATTAAAAGTACTAAATCATGCTAAAATAAGTTTAATAAGTATTAGTTACATTACTAAATATTTAAGGAAAATTAAAATTAGATTATGTATTTTAATTGTCTAAACCAATGTAAAACTAAAGAACAAATATTCAATATTATTGTCATTCTTAGTGTTGAATTAATTTTCTTTTTGCATTAGTATTAATTTGATTTTGATTTAAGTTTTATTATAATTATCAACATCTATGAACTATAATCTTTACTATAATCTTTATTGGACCATTCCGAATTCTAAGTTTTAAACTTGAAATAATATATTAAAAGATAAAAACTATGAAATAGTATAAGAAATATTTTAAAATTATATCAAAGTAAATATTTTTATGTATAAAATAAAATTTTAAAATTACATATGTAATGTCGGGTAGGTTTGATCTCGGGTTGTTTTTTTTACTTAAAACCAAACCAACCCAAATATAGTCAGGTTTTTTTTTTCAATACCAAACCAAGTCAAACCAAATACTAGTCGGATTTTTTTCCGATTTGACTCGATTTGCGATTTGATTCGATTTTCGGTTCAATTTTGTACACCCCAATTTCACATCATGACTAATTAACGTAATTAGGTTATATAATGCAACAACCATATCCCGTGATTCTAAGGCTCCTACTTATATTTCAAAGCTATGATCATTTATAAAAATGATATTCCATGTTAAAAGAAGAAGAAAAAAACAGTAGAGACCACAATTCGATCGAACATATAATATTGTTTTTTTCTTTTTTCATACTCAACTATAGAATAGAACCGCCGCGAAAGCAAGTAATGACAATGGGGTGAGAGTTTATATTAAGGTCTCAAGTAATTAATATTCTCTTTGTCTCAATTTATGGGATACAACTAAAATTTTGAGAGTCAAATTTTTGAACTTTGACAGTAAATTCAAAAATAAAAACTTAAAATATTTTTGAAACAATTTTTTTATATTTGAAAACTACATAAGTTCTTTTTTAGTTGTCATAATTTTCTTTTTGAGAGTCAAACAATATGAATTTTGACTAACATTTTAAGATGTATATTTTCATCATATTTATATGAAAAAAGTTGTAATTTATAGTACTTTCCGTGTTATTATAACCTAATTTAACTTTGAAAACTAGTCAAATTAACTCTCAAAGTGCGCAACATAACAACTAAAAAGAATCAGAGGGAGTAATAACTTAAAATATTTAAAAGACATAAATAAATTCCGGTAAAAAAAAAAAAAAAACTTAGTTGATTTGTCGTATCCATTTAATAATTTTGAGAAAAAAGATTAGCTTGTTTTGTTCCAATTTACATGTTTTTCCATTTGATAATAAATTAAGATGAAGTAATTTATAATTGGAGTACAGTATCTACATGAAGTTTGTCTTGACATACAGTTATTATGTTCATACAGTTCAAAATTTGAGTTCTCAGATAAACGCATAGGGGATATATTTTTAGGTGAAAGTCTGGGTTGATGGCATTAAATTTGAAAAACAAAATGTAAGTACATTCTGTAGAGATGACTTTGATCACTGGAATTTCTAATTAAATACTAGTGGAGACTAAAAAGTAATTTAATATTTAGCAACAGCCATGGAGCTAGCATATATGCAGGCTGTAATCAGCTAATTAAGTCACAAGTCTTGAATAATTTGTGGTATATCCAATATTAATGACATCATCCACATGCCCTAATTGGAACATACAAAAGACCCCACTAAGTTTTCATATCCCTACTTTGGTTCCCCCCTTCTTTTCCAACTAATTTGGAATAATATATTTATTTGCAATTGTTAAAATTTATATTAGAAAAAAGAAAAAAGTCTCCAAACGGAAACAAGAGCAGCTCGTTTTTGCTGATGTTGATTTGTCGATTTTGGTGAGTTTTTCGGCCGTAATATCCATTTCCAAGGTAAAATCATCATCATCTTGTACTCCATATTCATGTTTACTCCATTTTTTTTCAAAATTAGTTTCCCGCCAATTTAGAAATTTGAGAAATCGTCCATAATAATCACTTGATAACTCTCTATAGATACATTTTAGTAGTTTAAAAGCATTAAAAATCTGTTTCGCCATTGCAAGAGCTGAATTGTGAACCCGATCTCATCCAGTCGCGTTTTTGTATGGATTCCGTACCTCATAGACTGATATTGTAATATATTATCGATATTTGTAGTCTATAATGGCAGTAGCTGAATTTGTTGTTGCTGGTGGAGATTATATGGGAGTATGGGAGGTGACTCCCAAAAGCTGGAATTGGAAATCTTTTAGTAAGACGATAGTGCCCATTGCGTTGCGTCGCAATGGTTCATATGACGATATGATTGCAAGCGTAATTGAGGCCGGTAAGTTAACTTGCGAACCAAATGACTTGGTGATTAGCTATCAAATGAATGGGAGGGGAAAAATACATCTCACATTCATAAAAACTGATCGGCACGTTAGCTTGTACATGTTAGATATTGGTATTGATGACTCTAGGCCTACATTGAGGATACACGTCAATGCGATGCCTCCAATTGAACCAACAAATTCATTTGACGACGACAATGATTCTATTGGAAATGAAATATTGGGTGATCATGCAACGGAGACCTTGGGTGATCATTCAAATGAAAGTTTGGGTGATCATTCAATGAATATACATGATGATCCAATTAATATGGAAAATCAGTCAGTAGATGCGGAAGATCCCGAACGCGAATGTTGTAAAGAAATGCAAGGTGAAGAGGAATTGAGATCACAATCCAACCATTCATTCTTCGATGGAACTAATTTATGCATAAATCGAACTTTCAGTAACAAGAATGAATTGCAATTATTATTAGCCGAAGCGGCGGCAAAGAAGTCTTTTGATTTTGCTACTTTGAGGAGTTGTACTAAATATTTAAAGGTAAAATATGTATCTCAGAATTGTTCATGGATGTTGCGGGCGAGGAAATATGAGTGTTCAGATAGCTATCATATCTACAAGTACATTGGCGAGCATAGTTGTGGCGTTGAACATGCCAATAGTAGCCATAGAAAAATCTCAATCAAAGTCATTGCTTCACTTTGTGTAAATATGTATCGTTATGGCAAGGG